AACGGACTTATTTCTTCGAAATAATGGCTGTCATATATTAATTCAGCTCACGCAGGTCGGGTTCATTTGTGTGCAAAATGAAAACTCCTTTTTCAGAGGGTTGCAGACGCCCAAAATTGGAATAAAAGAAAATGTTCTCGTTAAAATAAAAGAAACACATCGACAACTAGTTAGCCTTGATGAAAAAGGCATGTAAACAGCACGGGTGTCATCTTTAATGTCGTTTACCCCATAAACCGTGCACACCCGCGGGGGTTGCCTGTGGAATACGAAACGGTCTTTTAAGTGTCTGTCCAAAGAAATTTCGAAAGCCGCACCCACCGGCGGGCGGCGGGTGGCGGGTGGCGGGCCGGTTCACCGTACGGCGCGTCGTCACAATACCTGGTTTGTTGTGAGACTGCACAGAGAGGTTTTGGTCTCGCGCGAGCGACTCGAAGCGTTGTTTCCGAAGGATCAAACCACATAATGCATGCACAATTGTTCACCATGGAAAAGTTACTTCATGCTTTCTTTTACTTTTGGGTGCAACGGACTTCTCCCCCCGTTACGTAATTTTTTTGTGAACGCGAAGTCGCCATTTCAGGTTTCTCCGCTTTTGTTCCAACATCGCGATACAAAGAGCGAATAGGGCACACACCACTTTACCCGATCAACCTGCATTTAGACGGAATTCGGGTCTGTTGCATTGGAAGCGAGATACGGTATTGAAACTAAACAGAAACGCCCCGGCAATTACTCTTTTCCAAGCCCCTCCTTATATCGAACAACCTACAGTTCATAAACTGGACAGGGATGGGATATGTTAATAACTTCCGCAAGAGCTATGAATTCCATTTTTATATACCAAAATATGATGACCTTTTTATTTCCTGAATCAAAAATTTTGTAAAACACGAATCGATGACTTCGATCGCATAATTGATAACGAGTTGAAAACTCAAGATTTATGAGGTGGAATACATGCATTGGAATTTTACTCAATGGGAAAAAAGTCGGTTACAACCAATCGGCTTTGTCAAGATGCCACAGATGAATAGGGACATACATACACAATGGCGGATGGGGGAGGGGGCAACAGGGGCCATCCCCCCCCCAAAAAAAAAAAAAAAATCACCAAAACCATATCTTTTGAAGATGACGTCGCAAAAAGGCAGCCACAAGCGTACAACATTAAAAAAATAAAACATTTTTTTCGGGGAACCCAAAAAAAGTTTTGGCCCGCCTTAAAAAAACCCCACTGTGTCCTGGATTTGGCCTGATACATTCGTGAGTGCGAGACCATGCAGTACCGGACTGAACGGTCGCGCGATTGCAAGAAGTGAAACAAGGGAAGAATAGTTTGAGTGAGGGGTGGTTCCTCCATCGAGAGTGCAGTTGAATAGGCAATTCGGTGTCACAATGAACGCGCTAAAAACATTACGTAACAGAATGCGCTGTCAATAGTGTAAACGCCCGATATTGGAAGAGAAAGTAAGGTGCTTTTATCGAATTCCTTGGTGCTGTAGTGATTGGAAGGAATTCGAGTACATTGTTCAATGATGAATGTTTGTGGCGATACTCTCAGTCAATTGAGGGCACTATTTCAGTTTAACGGTCAAACCTACGCAGGTTTGGTTGGGGGTTATACGTCCGAAAAGTAGTTCGCAGATAATTAGCTGTCTCGGCGACGCAGTTTGCCGATACAGCTCCTTTTAATTACGTGTGTTCATATTGATATTTAAGATAGATAAAGGGATCATGTGTTGTTGTGATTAGAAAGAATTGTTTGTGGTTACATAATAATTGTACAGTGTACAGTGACGATCAGTTGTGCGATTACCTTTAGCTGACTGAGGGCGCTATTCAAGTTTAACGGTCAAGCCTACGCCGTCATTCGCCAAAACAGTTCTAGTTGCCCGTTTTTCGTGTAAGGATTCAAAATAGCAACCGAGGCATTTCTTTTATTCTCATTTGTAACTGGCTCTAATTATAGGCTCCCAACCAGGGGAAAAACCTAGAACCTCTAGATCCATATTCTTGGTAATGTAACAAATGAAAAATATATATGCATTAGATTCTGTAATCAGTCTATGTTACCCACAACTCTCCAAGGTGCAGAACCGTGCGTTTGAGACACCCACCATATCAAAGCTTATTTCATCATCTTATATTTTCTGTTTTATTTTTGTGCATTTATCCTATAACGTTTGGGAGAAAATTCCATCAAATGATGCCGTTCCGAAAAAGTAGTCCTGTGGCCCATCGCCATTTTACAAAATGCATATGCGCTCCATTGCAAAATAGAGCAACTTTTGGGCCCAATTTCATGCAAATATTACAGAAACACGAGCTCACACTCCTGTGTACGGCTTTCACCCATTTTGTTTTAACATCAAGTTCGAAGCCCTCAACGGTGTCCACTATGCGTTTGTAACTCACAAACGCCTTGACCTCTAGTTGTGTTTGAAATGTTAGTACATGTAGGCCTACAGCTGTTACATAAGTTCAGGGTTCGACTTCAGCGGTGGTCCGCTAGCCTAAGTAGCCCCATGTTTTACATGTGTGTACAATCTTGTTTATAAGACATACTAAAAGAAAACATGCGGGCTTGTTAAAATTAAGAATCTGTTTCAGTAGCCTAACTGGAAAAATGTTAAGGGCGAATTTCTGTTTGAAGAAAACCTTGTCGTTTTTACTGTACCTTATAGGCCTAAAGCCTCGACAATGAAAAAAATAATGAGATAAAGAAAAACAAAAAGTTATGTGGTGTTGACCAAGCATTCAGGGGTCGCGATTGGTTACCAACTCCCATATAGGACTCTTCCTGGGTCTCGGATTCCCCGGCCCACCACACCTCCTTCCCTGTCCATCCATGTAACCCCGGAGGGCCAAGCACCGTTAAGGGAGGAAACGAGGCGACGCCCTATGTCTTGCTGCCGAGACAGCAAAAGAGCCCCGTACCTATAAGTAGATGCATAACCTGGACTTCGCAGACAGTCCCAGCCGGTGACTTAACTGATTGAGCTAAGGTCGGTTGGTATTTGACGACGGGAAATTAAGACTCTTAAGTAAATGATTGAGCGCGTGTATTGAAAACCAAAAAATGCACCGCGGGCGTTTAGAACCCCGGACCCCGCGGTCTGTGGACGATGACTGGTACCACTAGGCTGTTGTACATACAGTCTTCATAATCAGAGTCTTAATATATAGTTGGAAACACTTAAAGGATTGTCAGCTCCAGTCTGCGCTTTGCCTTCATACATGCGTGTAAAAAAGAACCCTCTAAACTTCGAAACTCCCGTCATAAACAAATGATTTAAATGCCTCGTACAAAAAAACGAACCTGTTTCATAAACATGCACTTTGGCTGAAATTATGTATTCGTATTATGCGGTACATTCGCCGTATTTTTCCCCAGCAAAGTATCGGTCTATTCTAATACCTTATACTCTTCAATCCATAAATTTTGTTTCTCGGAATTTCGATGTACATCACTCTACTAGGCAAGCTATTCATCTCCATCCGTCATTTGCTGCTTCTTTTACTTCAAAAATACGAGGGAACCGAGTGATAGTACTCTCCACTGATCCCTGAAGAATTTTCTATATTTTTACAAATCTATTTTGCTGAATGTTTAACTTGATATATAACTTGCATATTGAACTTGCTGGAATTTTACTCACTGAGTAAAAAAGTAAGAAAAGAAATGGGTAATTGGTAATTTCTTTTTTTGAGGGAGGGGGGGCATTGCCCCCGTTGGCCCCGCCCGGATCCGCCGTTGCGTGTGTATGTCCCTTTTCACTGTGGCATCTTCATTGACAGAGCCAAGGTTTTTACCAATTTTTTTTTTCAGTGTGACGTCGCAAAAAAGGCAGCCATGTTACGTACAGCATTAAATTTCAGCCACCATGCAATGATGCCATTAAGAGTCCTAGTGCCCCCTTGCTTTTCATATCGAATTTGGGGCGGAACATTTTGGACCCACTTTTTCGGGGAACAAAATAATGTTTGGCCCACCCTAAAAAAAAAAACCGCTGTGTTGTGGATTTGGCCTTATACAATGTGTGCGAGACCAGTACCAGCACCGAATGGTCGCGCTACGTGAAACGAATGGTTAATTGAGAGAAAAGAAACAAAAGAAGAATAGTTTGAGAGAGGGGTGGTTCCTACATCGAGAGTGAAGTTGAATAGGCAATTCGGCGTAACAATGAACGCGCTAAAAAAAAGAAAATAGGAACAGAGTGCGCTGTCAATAGTGTAACGCCCGATATTGTGATTAGAAAGAATGGTAAATGATTACATAATAATTGTACAGTGTAAGTGTACAATGACGATCGGGTTGCGTGATTACTTTTAGTTGATTGAGGGCGCTATTCAAGTTTAACGGTCACAAAAAACATGACCTTTTTGTTGTTTTTCTTGATTGTTGAAATCGATAAACGGTTAGTTGCTTCATTTGCTGTTTTTCAAAGTTATTTGTGTAAAACTGTAAAACAAAAATCATTGATCGTTATGCTGTAATGAATTTTATTAAACTTATAAAACAGAGAGACCGTATTTATCTTAATACCGTTTGACCGTTTTACAAAACTGTAAAACGACAAGACGGTCAATGGTTTGTTTAGTGTTTTTGTTTTGAGGAAATGCAAAACGGTAAAACGAAATAACGGTATGTCCCGGGATTAACGAGCATGTTCATTTCAAGCGGACTCAATCAAGACTGAAGGGTAAACAGACTAATCAAGTTCCTGCACAGGATCATGTGAGGGAAACACAGAGGATTGTGGGGTGGCCGATTTTAACTATTGCGAGCATCATAAATTCACGGTTCACCAATTTGACAACGAACACATTAATTTTACGAGGGCTCTATAAAATCAGAGATGAGCATCTGAGATTCGATTCTTTTTCGGGTGTGAAAATATGGTTCCTGTTTCTGCCGCCAACACGTGAATAGCGCGACCCAAGAATAGATGGCATGTTCCCTATTTATGTACATTTGAGCTTTGATTTATTTATAGTTGGTGCTTGGGCAGCTGAGACTACGCAAGCGCCATATGCCGTGCTGACGACGATACCAATGGTGTTGCGCCCTCTCACGACTTTTAAAGCTCCAGGTAAGGGTAACAAATATCGTTCCGTCAGCTCAAATCAAGAGACCTTAAGTGAAGATGCGACTCATGTCGCTGCCAATTTGGGGGCTTGAGTATCGGTTTTCCCCCAAGTTTTCCTTTCCGAGTTGTATTTCAACCACGGGACTAATCGAGAGCATTTTTGTACTGTGTATGCAATAATTCTTGGAACTCAGAGCCATCTTCGCCCACGACTCCCTACTCCCCCATGGACCGGTGGACAGAGTGGTCAGCCTGGGGTGACTGCTCGGCTACTTGCGGCTTAGGTGAGCAGTCAAGGACCAGAGTGTGTCAACTCCTCATTGAAGGTCTAATCATCCCGGCCAGCGGCTGTGAAGGCAGCAGGGCGGAGACAATGGCGTGCGACACGCGCCGATGCCCAGGTATGAATACATTTCATCAAAGTTTCCTATGTACGGTACGATGCCAAGGCTCGAATACCAGTACAATACCCACGTACGACAACGAATACGTGTCCGCACAACATAAGAACCTTACACGGGGCGACCTGACCTCAAAAATCAAAACCAGCATTATGAAATCTGAGGGTAAGTTCGCAATATTATCATCGCAACAATGTAGTGTTTTTTTTAAAGCGACAATTACAAATCCACGTTGACTTTCATTCGGATAATGTTTGTTGCGCTTAAAACACTGTATTGTTACGGTCATAATACCTTCATTGTTTGACGGTTTCTTATGAAATGAAATATCGTAATGTTAAACATAACGTCACTGACACCACGAAGTAACACTCATATACATACCAGTAAAAACTAGCAATCGGATCAAAAACGGCATCTTAAGTTGAACGCCTTCTAGAACAACACTTTGCGTCAAAACTGCAGAGTATTTTCAGTTGGGTTCCTCGTTGTGGACATTTGACGTATTGAATGTATTAAATGTGCTGTTTTTGACCCGTTTGTATATTAAATCAACAAGAAATAAGAGAAAAAAAAGATGAGTGCCAGTTCGTGGAACCAAAACAGCTGCGAAACTTTGAATTTTTGTTTTCACGAAGTAGTACGCTTCAATTACAACACTAGGTGAGTGTTACTTCGTGAAAACGGAGGTCAGCGCGCACTCTCGCATTTGAGCACAGTGTGCGTCATGCTTTATACAATGGTAAATGGAACTTGAGTGCTACTTCGTGAAAACAAAAATTGTCACTTTCGCGCAATACTTGCCATGGATAATTAGCGTAATTATTAGAGTAAAGCTCTTGAAGCTTTGAACTTCGTGCAATGGTAGGTCTTGATGAGTAATGTTTAAAAATGTATAAAAAAATAAAAAAATAAAAATCGAAAACTGAAAAATATGGTTTAACACATGGAGTGCTACTTCGTGGTGTCGGTGACGATCATGACAAATCAGTGGACGGAAATTCATTTTAATACATGTTGTATCTCTTGAGTTGTTGCCCCTTAAACGAGTTTGGTGTTGGAGATTGAGACCACTATTTAAGTGGCGCGCCCTCTATTGAAAGAACATTAAAGTAGGCGTTGGTGCCAGACCTCTTGGGTTTCAGACCTGTAAATCGACTCCCGTAGACTTAAGTGATAACTACACGTAATTCCAATTTGTCCCTTTGAAATGCTGGTCCCACCCGTAGGCACCGAATGTCTTTTTAATTTTCACACAACGATCTGGTATACACCTCGCACTTGCTTTCCTATGGGAGCATGTTTTATCGTCGTGCTTGAGTGGCAACTAGTATTATTCATCTCGTGCAAAATTTCGGACTTTACTTCCCGTAACGAAATCGTCTGGAGCCTCGATTCAGCAAAAGAGAAATAGCCGAAACTTAAAGTAGGCACGTGTGCACGTTTGTCTTGGTTCGAGACCACTAGTTTTTTAGCGCGCCCTTTCTCGAAAGAATATTTTAGGTGTTGTTTGACGGTTTCTCACGAAATTGAATCTCCTTATGTAACACTTCAAGACCGATCACTGGCTGAACTTACAACTTAATACAGCTGGGTCTGGTAGGCTCAGGCTATTGCCCAAACAACGAGTGTGTGATTTTTATTTTTTCCATGGACGTTGACTTTCTTGTTTCCTTCGGTTTGCATTTTTCGCCTTTAATATATTTTGCTTGCGTCATATTATTTTTTTTTATTGTTTGACGGTTTCCCATAAAATTAAATCGCATAATGTTACACAGTCATCATGACAAATCACTGGACACAATTTCAGTTTTGAAATACAGAACAAACTCGTTTTGGGGGCAACAACTCAAGAAATAATCGATGTATTAAATTAAAATTTCAAACGCCTTGGAGTGCTGTGAGTATTTAAACAAAAACATTTGGAAGAACATGTAATTATCACTTTAGTTCTGTGGGAGTCGATTTACAGGTCACAATAATATTAACACCATGTAAATAGTGGTCTCGATCTCCACCACCAAACTCGTTTTGGGGGCAACAACAGACTCAAGAAATACTAGATGTATTAAGCTGATTTGTGTCCACTGATTAGTCATTATGTTTAACAGTACGAGATTTAATTTCATAAGAAACCGTCAAACAATGAAGCTATTATGACCGTATCAATACAGTGTTGTGAGCGCGACAAATACAACCCGAACGAAAGTCGACGTTGGTTTTTCGCGAATTACGTTTAAAATACATAGAAATTCACAAAAATGTGAAGTTATGAGCAGTTCATTAATCAAAGAAGAAAAAAGATAAGGACTACAGAAGACAGAAAAGACATTAAAAATATAAGTTAAGAATATAAAAATATATACAAAATTGATCACTCTGTATGTACAGTGTGCAAAAAACTTAGCATGTAAAATGCAAAAAGGCAAGGAGGCCAGCTCCACTAAAATAAACACCAGGGCTTGTTATGTAAAAATTAACTGCATGAAATGAGAAGTGCAGTCAAGGTTGGGATTGGACTGGTTTTTTTGTAGCTGTTGGTTCTACTCTGGATTGAGCACAATTGTATTTCTGAGATTATTTCTGTTGGGTTGGGAGCCAGTCTCTGTTGTTGTTTGCAATGATCAGTGATTGACCAAATTTAACAAAAAAACTGTTCAGGTCTGACAGAAACAGGTGACAACTCAAACTGGGAATACATTTCCTGAAAGACTTAGTTCTACAAAGGTCCTTTGTTAAGATAATGGGGAGGGCATTTCGCTGTAATTTCTCCAGACATTCCACTTGAGATTTACTAAGACTTGAGAACCAAACTAGGCAGGCATATTCAATAAGCCATTTGCGAGTTAAATTTGAATAGAATCTGGAACGCTGACTTAATCCTATGCTTTTCACGTGTTAACTTTTTTTTTTTACATGGTCGTCTTTATTTTTTTACTCTTTAAATGCCCATGCATCATGTTCAAATGATTCGATAATTCTTATCCTGTCATGGCTAGAAACTTTGTTGTATGGCCCTCGAGCACTAGGAACATGTAACACACGCCAGATTAATTTAATTAAAAGCAGTTTTAAATTGATCGGAATAAGACGAATTTAATCTCTAAATGCTGCCATTCGCAACAGCTTAGACGAATTTGATTTGTAATGACGAATATTCTTGACACTGTGTTTAAATATGGTGACCGAACTTTGAAATGGAATGGTAAATGACTAAATCGCTTTGGTAAAAGCGTGTGACTTTTTTTCTGAGACGAATTTGAATATTAGAGTTGGTGAATTTTAATGAAATAGCCGGGAAACCCTATACTATCTGATGATCCACTCTATCAAAAGCTTTACTGAAATCCGTAGCAAGTAAGACTGCAGAATGATATGGGTTATCGGTGGCACTACCAATGGGCCGATCCAGTAAGCACCGCCCCATGGTATTCTGACCAATCACAGCCGTGATTTATGTCCGACATGCGTGCCCAAAATCCGACATGCGTGCACGCGCGCGTATGCGCGCGGCAGGAAAATGCAGTGTGGCATTGGAGAGGAGCACGTGTTAATTTGCCCACGGGCGCACTGGGCGGGGCTTACTGGATCGGTCCATTGTATTTAGTAGCTTGACTAAACAATGAGATGTTGATTAACCTTTAAGTGAACCAAATTGTTCAAATATTTTAGCGAAAATACAAGTTGCCATCGGACGTAAGTTATCCATCCTAGGGGGTGGTTTTATTGGTACTGGGACAACAAACGCCATTTTCTAGATATAGGTACTATTCCCTCCTGTAGAGAACAATTAAAAATGTCACTCAATTAAAAAAACAATTAAAAAAGACGGTTCATACGCAAATTCTTTTACAAGACGCGGTGGAATGCAGTCTGTTCCTTTACTATTGTGTTCTTCCTTTTTCCTGCGATTTCCACTTTATTTTTTATTCGATAACTTTTTAAAACCCTAGAAACACCTCGTGTGGACGGTCAGTGGTCTGACTGGTCCGAGTGGACCCAGTGCTCGGCCATGTGCGGCCCTGGCGAGCAGACGCGCCATCGACTGTGCGACAGCCCCCATCCTGCTGGTGAGGGCGCCCTACCATGTGAGGGCGCTATGACCGAAGACCAGGACTGTCACGGTGAAGGGAAGGTCTGCGAGGATGCCGGCCTCAAAGGTGAGAGTTTGATGAATTATTTGAATCGGGCCCTTTTTTCATTAGTGATTGTTCTATGATGTCATTGTGTATGTTGTTTGTACGAAATCGCACAATGTGCGTCCAAGTTTGAAATGTCGGAATCGTTTCAGCTTGGGGTTCATCTCCAACTTCAAATAAGTACAGAGTCTTATAGTTGACAAAAAATCGTTTTGTCCAAGAAATAAATCGTGCAGCTTGAGTCTCAAGACGAATACAGAGACGCAGTTTAGATTCGGAAAACATTTATAAAAGGTTGAAGGAACGACGTAGGAATTGTTCGTCATCCCGTGTTTTCGTAAGAACGCCCTCAATGGTCCAGCCGATATAATAAGAATCTGACTTTTTCTCTTCTCTCTACGACCAGCTCTGGCCTCCTCCACCCCCAGGCCGAGCGTTAACGCACCGACCCGCCGCCGGATCCATAAGCTGGTGGCCTGGGTCGTTCTGGTCGTCTTCGTTGTCTTGGTCGCGATGGCCTTCGTGGCTTGCACGACAGTCAAGCTCCGACAGGTGTACGGCGCCAGGCAGTACCGGGGCGGCAAGCCGATGTTCACCGACGACTCTCTCAAGTCTTCGTTCCGATCGACCGTGCCATAGTTTTCCGAGAACCGGTCCGAAATTTCCCGATCTGGGCTGTAATTGGCAAGCTTCGGCAATCACTGGAGAGCATCTACAGTCATCGGCAAGCATTGGCAAATATCGGCAAACATCGTCGAGCCTTGGCTATTATCGGCAAGCTTCGGCATTCATTATGTTACTTTGCGTTGCCATGTATACATAATCTAGGCTTCATAAAAATGTCTGATCGTTCAATTCGGGATGTAATTTCTATCTTCATTTCAATTTATTTCGATAACAGAGAGAACAGCGTTTGTTCTGTTCTGTATCAGAAATGTACTATAAAAATTTGGTTTTGGTTATGCAACTTTTTTTCGTATTCAAGTTGATTTATTAATCTTCTTAATGTACAAAATGACACGTTATACCCTGTATAATTTTTTAAAATCCGATTACTGTCTTCTTTTATGTACAATTGTCATTTCCCATTTGGCTCATGAAGCCTACATTTTTTCCGCCATTACGGAAAACGTGAGGAATTTGCAGCAGTTTTGATAATACATTTGACACTATAAAACCGTCCATAAATACCAGCTTTGTGAAAAATTAAGGTGGGCTGGGGATGGGACACCTTGTCCATTTTCAGTAAGAGAGCAATTTTATACCACCGTTTCTACCTGTTCACTCTCGGAGTCTCCGGCTGCTATTGGGCATTAACCCCCTCCCTTTCTACCTTGCCCCGCCCCTGGGGGAACCACACGCCTTCTCAGCTAAACAGTGATGGAAGATGGTACGGGTGCATGAAGAAATAGAACGAAACCCCTGAGCACATCGGGGTGAAAAGGGTTCAGAAATCTACCAAAGGGAAAATATAACTAATTCCAATAGAAAAAAAAATCGCTTAAGATGCCGACCATCGAGTTCCGTAATTGGTTTGCGTGGCTAGCGGCGGGTATAGTGTACCGACCATGAGCTCGCAACCCCGGCCGGTATTACCACCGAGGTGAGACGCTCACAAAAACTCACAGACCGATGTCCGTCTTCCTCGGGCGTGACGTATTGACAACGAAGGAAATCACTCCGAAGAAGGATGAAATATTGCTGCATTATTTTCTTTCCTTTTTCAAAATGCGTAGAATTTAATACTGTCATTTGAACATTTTTACATTAAAATGTAAATAGGGGAATTTTCGGACCAACACGGGAAAAAAGCTTTTCTTGTTTTGATTTGTTTTGTTTGTATTTAAGTTTAATCTCGTTTTATAATAAAAGACAGATGACCTATTGCCGGGGTGACAATAAAAAGTATATATCATTCCAAGATGTATAGGCTTTACTTAATTTGAATGGAAGAAAATATTTACTGCGTCCTTAAGTATGCATTCAGTGATAATATTGCCAAACACCATACTTCTTTGAAAGCCTTTTGTGCACTAATTTCGTCGCGCGTCCCCAAAACAGGTGCGTTGCTCTCATGCGTCGTGATGACACCTGTCGTTGGTGAGCGTTCAGGGGCGCGCTCCGCGTAATACGCGCGCGTGCCAGTGCGCGCACGCGGTGTGTCTTTGGCTGACGCTCATTAGTAGTCATCCAGAGTGTTCTTGCAAAATGTAATGCCGACACTGTTCCGAGAAGTTCGGATAGAAATCCATCAGACACTAAAAAGCCCATGCAATAGTTAGAGTGCGATTTTTCTCTCTATACTGCATTTTCCACTGACACGCGCGCAAAGATGTCGCTCAGTTTGCAAAGAAAAGTAGCGTGAATCATGATGACAGTTATATTTTTACAGAGCGAAAGCCACACCGCTTACTGACATTTCCTCTGAAGTTAAAAAAAAAAGGTCAAAAAAAAAAGAAACCTTCCTCATGTTGATGGATGGCCCTGGTTTTTCATTACCGCTCGCCCATGACAACATTTCGCAACATTATAGTTTAGCGGAAGCTAGCGAGGGCTCCTCGACGAGCACTTTGCTACTTTGCAATCAAAGCTGCGGCTAGCTTGCCGTCTTGGCTTACCGCGCAATTTCCTACGCTGGATAGGCAAGCAGACCCGGCTCGTGTTTGGCGGGAAACTTGCATTCAGCATTCGTGCGTTGTCAGGACAGATTGCCCCCCCCCCCCAGGTTGTCTTTATTACCGACGTGGGAGCATTGTCTGGCCACGTGATATTATCCGAGACCTAAGTGTCTTCTTTTAGTGTCTGATGCATATTGCTGTTCGTTTTTTATGACTGGAAGACCGTCTTATTATTTCCTCTCACAGCACTTGTCTGTTGCTTTTACTGGCTACAATTTCCTGCTCGTTTTCTGATTTAGAGTTTAATAGTCGTTGGGTTCAACAAGCTGAGTTGCGTTTCTGTTATCGTTTCCAATCCAACGGCGTCACAACATAAACAATAACCGGACGCGTTTTTTTTTAATTTTAGGAGGTTGCTTCATAGGGTTACTTCTCTTCGTGAATTTCGTCCGATGTTCGGCTTTCAAAGTATTTCAATTTTCTTGTTAAGATCTGCGAAGACCTCAACAGGACGAAATTGGGACCAATGTTTATCATCCTCGGCATCAATTTGTAGGGCATACATGTTGTGACATTGAAGCCAAATGCAGGCTACATTTTGTAATGTGTGTTTTTTTTTCTCGAAATACATGTCTTCCTAGTAAAACCTAAACTAGAGATGAGCGCCCCCTCCCCCTCCCCCAAAAAAATGTGGGTTGATTTATTTTCTTTTAAACCTATCTATGATATTTCAGACATTTCCGAACATAAAAGTGATGTTTGCCATATAAAACTTAACTAGTTTCCTTTATTCTTTGTTGAATTAGAAAATTGGCTAAAATTATAACCCAAAACTTTACCAGGCAATTTATGTTTTCACTTTTGGTACATCATAACCTTTAAAAGGGCACAACATTGCCAAAGAGAAGATCCTTATTTTAACAATATTAAAACAGTTTTTTTGACGAGGTACCAAGAAGAGTCCGTTTTCAAGAGAACACATCACATTTTATGATTAAATTTATCATTTTGTTTTTGGTATTTGTCAATCAAGCACAACATTCCGATATTTTCAACAGCTTAAGAAACGGAACCCCTTTCGACCTATAAGCAACCTCATATAGCATCGTCATTAAGACGACTCTAGTTGCATATCCAGGGTTTTTAATCCATTAAAGGTACTAGTGCAGGGCCAGTCGAAAATGTGCGTGTTCGGAAGGGGCAGTTGAGAACTGCAGCTCGTGCAAACAACGCACATTATTCAATGGTGTGAAAGCACACTCGCAAGTTAAACTCACAAAATGTCGTCACCCCCCCCCCCCCCGGCACATACAGTGCAGTGATGGTTGCTCAGTTGAGTACAAAATGCATGTGCCCGTGCATGCCACTCACGTATATGTACGTACGAAGACATAGTGTGCAGTGCTTATCGCCCTACAATGTGCCCGTCATTTTTGCAGGGCCCGTCAAAAAAATGCACCTGTTCGTTAGGGGCAATTTCAAAATGCTCATATCAGGCAAACAACGCACACGATTCAATTGTGTTGTTTTCACATGTTAAACTCACACTCATAGGTTGAGCGCACTTTGTACATGTCGCCAGGCCATCCCCGGCACTGATATTCACCAATACGCCCGTGCAGCTACTCACCTACGTGAGTAAGGTTGCTCAATCCACCGCCTACAATAGTGGTTCAATCGACTGCAAAATGCATGTGCCCGTGCAGTCATCACGTACGGAAACATATGGTACGCAGTGCTATTCACCCATACTGGACAATGGTATCGCCCTACAATGCACGTGCGCGTGCTCGTCCTTTTTGCATTGTTTGCGTCATATTGAGCACGCGCGCTTTAGCTTTAACATGACGTAAACAATTGAAAAGAACAGCAGTGCGTGGAGTTCTAGGCTATATTCTGGCGCGTTTGCCTCAGAAAATACTGGGTTTTTTTGCAGCTTTTTCGAGAACCGCTCGTCCAAACCACTTCAAACTCGACACTGCACATTCTGCTATCCGGAGCAGTACACCCGCCGATTTTCAACTCCATACGGTGCCCGGTTCTGGAGATAATCGGCGGACAGACAGACAGACAGACAGACGGACAGACAGACAGAGATTCCTTGAATTGTAGTATAGACTAGTGCAGGGCCCGTTGAAAATGTTCCTGTTCGGAAAGGGCAGAGAACTCATACAAACGACGCACACGATTCAATGGTGTTGTTTTCACAGGTTGGCTGCCAAGTTTACAGATTTTGTAAACGCACACTTTGTACACGTCATCCCCTGACACAGATAGTCACCCCCACTTAACAATGGTATCGCCCTTCAGTTATTTAGTCGACCGCCTACACAGTGATGGTTGCCCAGTCGACGGCAAAATGCATGTGCCCGTGAAGCCACTCACGTACGTGTACATACGGAAACATGGTATGACTATGCAGTGCTTTTCACCCATACTGGACAATGGTACCGCCCTTCAAAGCATGTGCCCCATGATGTGCCCGTCCTTTTTCCATTGTTGCGTCTTATTGAGTACGCGCGCTTTAGCTCAAACATGACGTAAACAATGGAAAAGGACTTTGCGTGTTCTAGGTATATAATCTGCCACGTTGAGGCTCAGAAAATGCTGCTTTTTTGCAGCTTTTTCAAGAGTTTGTGAGAACTGCTCGTGCAAAGAACACACGCGATTCAATGGTGTTGTTTTCACAGGTTGAACGCACACTCTCGTCAAAGTTTGTGCCAAGTTTGAAGTTCGACCGCCTACAATGGTCGATCAGTCGACTGCAAAAATAATGTGCCCGTATTGAGCCACCATGTACGTGTACGTACATACATATACATGTGCGTGGTATGCAGTGCTATTCACCCATACTGGCCAATGGTATCGCCCTTCATTGCACGTGCGCGTGTCATGCAGTCCTTTTTTTTTTTTTTTTTTGCGTCATATTGAGCGCGCGCGCTTTAGCTTTACATGAGGTAAACAATTGAAAAGAACGGCAGTGCGTGGTGTTATGTTCTAAGCTATATACGGACACGTTAGGCCACAGAAAATACTGCTTTTTTGCAGCTTTTTCGAGAACCGCTCTTCCAAACCACTTCAAACTTGGCACTGCACATACTGCTGTCCCGAGCAATACACCCGCCGATTTTCAACTTCATACGGTGCCCGGTTCTGGAGATAATCGACGGACAGACAGACAGACAGACAGACAGAGATTCCCGGAATTAAAGTAGAGACTAGTGCAGGGCCAGTCGAAAATGTGCGTGTTCGGAAGGGGCAGTTGAGAACTGCAGCTCGTGCAAATAACGCAAATTATTCAATGGTGTGAACGCACACTCGCAAGTTAAACGCACAAAATGTCGTCACCCCCCCCCCCCCACCGGGACTGATATTTTCCCCTACTGGACAATATAGTATCGTCCTACAACTGTAGCCCTGGCGTAGTTGTAGGGCGATACCATATTGTATTAGAGTTGCTCAGTCGACCGCCTACATACAGTGCAGTGATGGTTGCTCAGTTGACTACAAAATGCATGTGCCCGTGCCCGTGCATGCCACTCACGTACGAAGACAAGGTGTGCAGTGCTATCGCCCTACAATGTGCCCGTCCTTTTTTTCATTGTTGCGTCAAATTAAGCACGCGCGCTCTTGCTCAAACATGACGTAAACAATGGAAAAGAACATCAGTGCGCGCCGGGTTCTAGGCTATATTCTGGCGCGCAAGGCCTCAGAAAATACTGCTTTTTTTGCAGCTTTTTCTATAACCGCTCGTCCAAACCACTTCAAACTTGGCACTGCACATTCGGTTGTCCCGAGCAATACACCCGCCGAATTTCAACTTCATACGTTGCCCGGTTCTGGAGATAATCGGCGGACAGACAGACAGACAGACGGACAGACAGACAGACAGAGATTCCTTGAATTGTAGTATAGACTAGTGCAGGGCCAGTTGAAAATTTGCCTGTTCGGGAGGGGCAAGTTGAAAATGTGCCTATTCGGGAGGGGCAACTTGCTTGACCGCTGGTACTGGTTAAGGTTGATTGCCTTAAGGTTGATTGTTAAGGTTGATGGTATCGCCCTAGAATGCACGTGCGCGTGCCTGTCCTTTTTGCATTGTTGCGTCATATTAAAGGTAGAGTCCATCATTTGCAGCCATCCGAAAAGTAACTGGCGTAATTATTGTTGAAAAACTAACTTGGTTGAAAGATAGTAAGGAGACTAAACTCCCTGTGAAATTACTCTTTCTGGAAAGCTGTCATTTTGAAGTAATCAACGAAAGAAGGCATTTCCAACGGTGATTCTTAAGAAGCACCGTAGGAAAATTTAAATTAGTAGTTCGTT